AACAATTTCCAAATTGGAAATTGAAACGTCAATAAAAGTCCTTTAACCTAATTGTGGCTTACTCCCATTTAAATAGTAATTACTTTAAAATGCCAGAAGATTTATACCAATATTGTTAAAAAAATGTTTAGATATCAGTTATTAGACTGAAATATGAAACACTAGCAAACACATCTTATCAAATAGTTTATTTTATCAATTAAATATAAATGAAAAAGATACAATAATCAACTAGTCCATACGTGTCTTCAAATTTTTTACAGTCACCTTATCTTTTTCTCTGAAAAATAAAAGAAAGCTGTTAGTGATTTATTCAAAGAGAAAAATATTATTAAGTAAGATATTAATAGATTCATATACAATCCCATAAAATTATATAAAACCAACCCATATTGTCTTAAATCTGTACACAGTAACAAGCCATTTACTCAACATTTGTTAAACAGAAATACCCATAATTTGAAGAACCCTAAAGAATTCACAAAAAAAAGAAACTATGGGTTCAAATAAAGAAACATTAAAAAGAAAGAGTGGGGTTTGTCAATATTTACTTAATTCATAACTACAATATTTAATACTTACATGATGTACACTGTAGCTCCCCAACCCGAAATGGCATCTCTGTCAAAGGCATTAATAAGGGCTTGAGAGATTGTTTCAAAGAGATCTTCAGGTCCTAGGTTAGGTTCCCAAAGTGCTTCACACATACCATACAACTGTGCTGAGGCTGTTCCACCAACAACAAAGTCTGAAGGTTGGTTTATACAACCAATTAAATCCATATTACAGATAAAAGGTTCATAAGTATCAGGTAGAAGTCCAGCTACCACAGGTTCCACAAAAAATGGCCCAAATCTTTTTTCATACAACATATTTGATATCATAGATGCAAATACTTTTGGAGATATTTTTCGATTTTCCTTAAGTTCATACAAGTTTTTTCGGAAACGGAGTTTTTCCATAACTGTTTGGGTATCTGTCGCTAATCCTGGAAGACCTACATATAAATGCGGTCCCATTTCAAAGATTTTTTGAAAATTTGTAGCTACTGTTTGGGCTTGAATACCAAACCGCCTATCTGCTGCAATGGCTACGCAGTTTTCTCCCTTCATCGCCACCATTGCACCACCATTGTAAGCTAGAATGGACTAAAACATAATGATTTAAACAATGCTACAACTTTTTTTATACATAGAAGAATAAGGAGAAGGATTATTTTATTTTAAATGTACAGTGAATATCTTACCCTAGCCAAACATAAAACGTATTTACTATTTAAATAAGAAATTACTTAATACTAATTAATACAATTTTGCCAGTAAATAATTACCATTTTGCCAGTAAAATTTGAACTCCTTCCGTTAAAGAATGTACTTAAGGTTTTTGGCAATACTGCTGAATAATGTCTGGAATTAAAAGAATTGTACAATAACAATATTTATGAAACTAAAGATGATATGACAAATTACAAAGAGACGTGATTTGTAGGTGATTAAAGTCTTAGACATCTGACTTGACATTTGACAGACAGTGTCAGGTTTGTGCCAAGGTTAGTAAAAGGGAAGTTGCATGGTAACTCTGACATTGACAGAATGAAATATGACGTGTGACGTCATCCAGGGGGTCAATTTTACGAATTGTTTGAAAACAAAATAGGAGAAGTGGTTTGGAGAATAGATTTTGCTGTTAAATATCATTAGTAATTTAGTTTATGTTAATATCTTAAGATATAATATGTCTATAGATGTTATTGAGTGATTTTTAGTATACAACTTGGACCCAAAACTCTTATACAAGTGTTAAGATACATTTAACGTGGTTGTGTCTTACTGGATTTTATTTCTGCTATATTATATTATAGTAAAGGTACCCTTGGGATTAATGCAGGAAAAACATAGCTTAATTTAATTTTTTATTGATTTTTTAAATTTTTAAATTCTCTTTAAAACTACTCTGATCGCTCGGATTTAATGTAAACGATCGCAGTTCCACTCGTAACTCAAATCCGAGCTACTCGGATCCGAGTACTCGTAAATGTAAAGCGGACTTAATTCTAATAGGGGAGTCCACAGAATAATAAACAAACAGAATACCCACTCTCCACGGAAAATTAAGTACAGTACGCGCATCTCCTCCGTGCAGACGTTCCGCCATGTTTTAGGAGGATTTTAAAGAAATTAGTGTTGTTTATGTGGTGTGCATGGAAAAATTAACCAGGTTTATTTGACTTATGGCAATCATAGACATACTATACAATTATATTAACATTGTTAAATATAATAACATAAATATAATATAATTAAATATAAATATAACCAATTACATAACCACACAAATCATATGTCTGTGTCCTCCTAAAACATGGCGCGCGTGCTGAAAAATTTCAAAGGCGGCATCTGAGAGTGGCCCTTCTGATTGTTTATTATTCTGTGGGGGAGTCATCGAGCAAAAAGATAATAGAGGGAATCTAAGCGTTATGAAAAGGAGACCAAAAAAGTGGCCTCTGATGGCGGACATATCCGGAAATGCAAAGGCGCTAAATTTAAATTTTCCAACACTTATTAACAATAGCTATAAAATATTTTTCAGACGAGAAAGTTTTAAATTAATTTAAATTAAATATTAACTACAATAGTCTAAAAAGTGACACAATTGGTAAAAAACTTCAATATAAATAAAATTTCATGTGGCAGTTGGGACAAACCACAAACAATAACATAACCAAACTAAATTTGACTTTTCAAACAAGGAAAGAGACTGCCTTTCCTTGTTTAAAGTGACCTCTCAAGATGGCACTTCATGTCTAACAATATTTTTGTCCCCACTACCTTTACATTCCCTCTTTTATCTTTTTGCTCGATGGGGGGAGTCCAACACATAACCTCAAACCGAGCTGTCAAAGTATCTGATTCCCTCTATTGTCTTTTTGCTCGATGCCTCAAACTCTGGCATTGCTGCCATGTGATTGCCATTAAAGATAACATGCCATGACATCAACCAAAGTGCAATTTGAATTTTAAAACAGAAGTGATATGGCTTTAAATAAATTTAAAAAGTACATTCAGAAGGAAGGACTGCAAAGAATGAATTATTTATATCAGGTAAATTGCTTTTATATTATTTTTTAGCATTTTTACAACTACTTGTTAACATAACCTTACAAGTATCATAAAGGTGGCACAGTATAAATAACAACAACCAGTATTCTCACTATACTGCCCTGCTAAGGAAAAGGGCAGTATCTGCAAAACATCTATTTTAAGATAAATGGAAGTAAAGTTTCAAATTGGATTATTATACTTAAAAATGGATTATTTTCCTTATATACTTTTGTTGTATTGTCATATGTGATACTAGCTTTGCTTTAAAAGAATAAAATCAATATAATAATTCAGTTTTTAATAAGAAATATCACTTACTTATTTTTTAACCAAAAAATGCCAAGCAAAAAGGCAGTATGTACAAGTTACTGCTCTTTTCCTTAGCAATGTAAAATTAACAAAAGCAGTAACTATGCTTTTTTTAACAAGATTTTATTAGCTAGTTAAAGCTACAGGTCTAAAAATATTACAAAAATATAAAATTCTCAAAAAATTGTCTTTAACATGTAGGTAGTCTCTCCCAGAATACTTTTCTATGTTCTGGAATAATATTTTGTAGCACTTGAAGTAATTGGTCTTTCCTTTCCCTTGGAAATGTTTTAGGTGAGACTACTTTTGGTAGGTTCTGGTATCCCAGTCTTCAAAATCCTCGGCTGCAAGACATCAAGCTCCTTGAAGTCTTCTGATTTGTCATATGTGCTTTTATATGTAAGGTGTGTTTACCCCTTTCAAACTTCATGTGAACAATATCTTTGAGATAAGGTCTGTCTGGCTTGGCTTTTATTTTCGCTTCAGACTTCCAATTTTTTTACACAAAAAAGTTATCAACACTCATTTTAAATACATCAACATGCCCTTTATTGGCAGCCCCTACAGCATCAACAAAATCGACCGTTTTTCAGGTGCTTTTAGTGACAATTCCACCTGGTGATGAAAACTATCGGCACTCATAAAGGTGTGCCCGGCTTGAAGTAATAAACTTGAATTTCAGTAGCTTCAACTGCATTTGAGTTTACTATTTTAATAAACAATGTTAATAAACACCAATTTTTATTCTGTGCACTACAATTGTCTAACCACAACACAAACTTTTTAGTATCACGGTAAGGGTTGAAAAATACATTAAAAGTACTTGCAATATCTTCTTGATTTCTGCCAGATATAGCACAGTGCCACAGAACTGCTAGTGGTTTAAGCTTAGACTTTTTCCCTACAGGGGCAAATGTCTGGTGCAAAGATGATTTGCTTGAACATTTCAAGTCGAGGTAGCATAATTACATTTTCTAAATCTGCACTAAATAAAACTTCATTGTTTTTGTTAGTTTTGTATTGCAAACTTTTCGAATTTGCAACTTTTGACTAGTTTGTCATGGATTTTCCAATTATTACAAACATCACAGTCTTCAAACAAATTATCCTTATTATGGTTGTGTAAATTAAAGTTTTCACATACCTCACTCTCCTCATTTCTTAGTCTTGCAAATGAAATTCTCTGTTCCTTCAAGATACGTCTGTACAGTTCATATGAAACACCTGACTTAAATTGTGGGTTTTTGATAATAAAGTCTCCGTGCATAACTTCAACATTCAAATCATTTGGTAAATATCTAGTTTTGGGTGCATGTTCTCTTCTGTAGTGTGGAACTTCAGGATCGAATGTCTCAATGTGATCAATTATAGCTTGGTGGGGACCTTTATTTACTGACGGTTGTCTGCCTCTTATGCTCTTTTAGGGTGTTATTGCATCCTTATCTGTAGAAAATATTGTGGTCAGAAATTTATCATTTTTTTTTGTTAAAACCTAAAGTGGTTAGAAAAAATGTTTTGCAAACTTTTTCCTTTTGACCATTTGAATGTGTTAAAAAGTATGTTACTGTTTTGTTTCTACTAATCTTTCCACTGTTAGTAGTTCACCTTTTAACATCACGTCTTTCGCAATGATTAAAAATAAAGCTCCTCCGTTCTTCAAAATCTTCAATATTCCAAAAACACTGATTGATAATCTTTCGTCATTCTTAGTTAATTTTCATTGTACACTTAAATTTACATTCATTACAAAGAGGCTGAACGGTATGAGATTTCTGGTTTTACTCTAATTTTAGCTTTCTACGTTTAACAGCTGTAAATTCTTTCTTCTTCCTCTTATGTTGCACACCTTCAAAAGTTGTAGTACTTTCTAATGGTTCAACACAATTGCTATTGCCGTCTTTTGGCAGCAATAAAGATGGATGTAAGCTATTGTGCAAAGAAGTTGGTTCGCTTCACTGGTTCAAAAAGGTTGGCTATTACGGGTGACAGTGGGGAACCCATCGGACAAGTTGAAGGGGCACCGATGGGTTCACCACTGTCACCCGTAATAGCCAACCTTTTTATGGAAGATATGGAATCAAAAGCAATAGAAACAGCAGAGCATAAACCCAAACTGTGGCTTAGGTATGTTGATGACACATTTATTATCTGGATGCATGGAGAAGAGAAGCATAACAACTTCCTACAACACATTAATAATATCCACCCAAAAATACAGTTTACCATGGAACGTGAAAATAACCAACAACTTCCATTCCTAGATGTGTTAGTTATTAAGAAAGAAGACGGAAGCATAGGACACACAGTATACCGAAAACCAACCCATACTGACAGGTACTTACACGCAGACTCACACCATCATGCTGCACAATTAAATTCTGTAATAAAAACCCTAATAACAAGATCTGAGAAACTGGCAGATAAGGAACATAAGAACGAAGAAATGCAAAAAGTCAAAACAGCTGTAAGAAAAAATGGCTTCTCCATGTATACGATTGAAAAGCCACAGAAATCCCGAAACAAAATCAAAGATATCCAGAAGAAGAGGAAAAACCAGTCGGAAATATATATATATATATATATATATAAATATATATATATATATATATATATATATATATATATATATATATATATATATATGAGCAATTCCAATACTTTTCACCCACTTTTGTGGGAGGGGTCTTCGGATTTGCTCCAAATTATGGTGTCATTATACCTTATGAAATAAGACCACAGTTCAAATTTCAGCCCTCTAGGTACACTAGGACCCGAGAAATCCCTTCTCAAAGGCCCCAAAAAAGGCCCTTTTTAGCATATATTCAAAAAGCTATATCTCGATGTCCTGTAAACCGATTTTAATTTAGAATAGCTCATTTTTTTTGTTATAACGTCAGCTATTTATAAAAGAATTTTCAAAATCCTGAATCCTAAGATCCATTGTCGGGGACTAAATTAGTGCGGACGAAATTGAAAGATTTTGGTTAATTTTTAAAAATAATAAATAGTGTATGGGTAACTAAAAGTACTTTTGATAAGTCTTATTGGAAAGGTTGTTTCATTACCTTT